CAGCAGTGACCGTAGACAGGTAGAGAGCTAGCTACATGCTGCACGAGGACACACCCTCCACGAGTCCCAGGATCTCAACACAAGACAAACAGACACGAGATAGTTATTTATTTGATAGAACATTGCATTGTATGTCAGGGACAAACACTCGCTCTTAAGATACTCTCATCCTAACAGTAGTATACATTTTTCAAGCAGATTCAGCGAAGCTTCACATTCAGAATAATTCTTTCCTTTACGGAGACAGCACCAAAAATATACAATAAATCAGCAAACACAACAACAAACAACAACGACGACAACAACAAAAAACACAACAAAAATCACCAAACAAACAAAACAAAGCTCAGCCTTACAATATTTACCACATCACAATGAACGCTAGACAAGAAATGTGTTCACGAACATACAGCCAGGGACAAACTGCTGATCCAGCAATTATTGAAGACAGTATCACAAGGAAGCTGTCGAAATGATCAGAGACTAGATTAAGCATAGCGCGATTACAAGATTATAATGTAGGGTTACTGTTGTGATTTGGGGGGGGGGGGGGGGGGGGGGAGTTGACAGACACTGCGAAGATTTCTCTCTCACAGCGTGCAGGTCTTGCGTACTTGACTGCCTGGGAGCCCTTGGTGAGACCCAGCTATGGGTGGATTACTGTGCGGGTTGGACGTGTTAACCCGCAGCATCAGACACAACACGCGCCTGTGCTAGACACAACACACCAACACGCACCAGTGCTAGACACAAGACCAGCTTTCTGAACAAATTTAAAGAAAAACTGCTAGAAACAGAAAAGGCCTACAGATAAAACAAGAGAGAAAAACTCATAGTCCAGGTCTACACATCTGCAGGCTACAAGAACAAGTACAACCAGAACCAGCATGCAAAAACATCACACAAACACGTGACATGCGAGAAACAAGCACGACATTATTATCGATACTATTCGGTGCTTTTTCAGTTACTACAAAACTACACCAGAGCATCCGCCAATCACCCACAACATATTCGTTTACTAATATACAAGTAATGGACAGGTACAAAAACTAGTACATTTTATTGATAACCTGCCACCCTATCACTCCCTTTCCCTCTACCCCCCCTCCCCCCCCCCCCCAACTGTCACACATCACACAGTACAACACAGACCACAACAAACCTCTGTCAAGTAGGTCTAAGAAAACTAAAGCTCTACATGATACAGAGAGGAAAAAGTCTATGTCCTTCCAGCCCAGTTCACCCGATGACGTAGGGAAAGAGATCCGGGGGGGAGGGGGCGGGGTGGTCTCACAATGAAAGACTTGATCCTCACATGTACAAAAATAAATCATTGATATTGTTGGTCTACAAGTGATCCCTTTAACCAAAGAAAAAGCAACTAAGACAGGAAAAGCTGGCAACAAAAACCAAAAAAAGTTACCTAAGAAAGTAACGGAATGTAAAACCAATTTGTTGACTTAAAATGACTACACACGCCTACAATAATAACAGTAATAACTCAAAACAAATAAAAGATCTATTGATAGATGAGATAATTATATAGATACGTCAGAAAATAAAGTGATAATGGGCTAAGCTATAAAATAAATATAATAAATAACTTTGTAACTTTTAGAGTTTGATCCCAGGGTTACAATTTTACAAGTCACGGACACGCTGTGAACCATATTACTCCAGATATTCAATACTTCACAACATTTGTAAAGATTCCACTCAAGATATGACCTTACTTCCGATCTGCCATCGCGGTGACGTCTTTTTAAAAGAACTACTCTACTAGATAGGCTTATAGATTCTACTCAGATAAACGATAACACTGATGAAAACTCTAACACGACAACACTGATGAAAATAACACAGGACAACACTAATGGGCATAATGTGTGAGCATGTATGTGCGTGTGCATGAGTGTTTGTAGAAAAGGCACGTGCAGTCAACTCTTTCGTCAATACCTGTCAAATTTTCCTGCAAAAATGTTCACGACAAGTCCTGACCATAGAGAAGTGGGTGAAGTGACATGGCTCAAGAGAACATTCAGTGCCGGGTTAGGACAAAGCAACTGACACAAGCACCTCTCGATCTTCCGCGGAGTCGGTTGTTACAATCAGAGCAATACATAAAAAAAGGAATTTGTGTGCACGGTTACAATTATATGAAGCTACCGATAGACAGATAAGAGGAAAGCCAAAAAAATAAGAGACAGATAAAAGGAAAACCAAAAGAAAGGGGAAAAAATGAATTGAAAATAAAAGGAAAGAAAACCAGGTACAGTTGTGCGGTCTCATCGAGCAATAAATACAAGACATACCAGTCGCCACTGACAGTGCGCTGAAGGGAACACAGGGGGGGGGGGGCAGGCAACGTGTGATCATACAAACAAAACAGGCAGAAATAAAACCCGCTTGTAGTTTCACGTGTTGCAAAAAAATAAAAGATAAAAAAAACCCAAGCACTACAAATATGGATTTTTTAAAAACAAAAACAACCAAACATTTCAATATTAATTGCTCAAGGGTTTCATGTTTGAAAATTATACTTCAAAAAAGCATACATGTGAAATGGTAAGATATTCATCAAACTACAGAATGAATTTACAGTGACAAATAACGTCAAAGCACAGTCCAGTGGCAGCAGTCGTGGTAAAGTACACATAGCCCCTCGCAGAGAGATGTCGTGAGGCCTCCTGCCCAAACAACGATTAATGTTGACCATCCCAGGGCAGGCTTTTAGGCGAAGGAAATTCTCCACCAACCAAAATGCATAAATCATTAATTATAAGCAGCAAGAACCACTTTAAAGATTATCTAAACAAAAAAATACTTTTCCCTAAGTCGTTCCAATTGTTTAGTTTTAATAAGAGTTTTACGGCACTTGCAACACAATAAGGTCATATAAGTGCTGAAGAATACAGGTATTACAAGAGAGTAACAAACACAAAAAAGGAGGAAAGAAGAAAGATTTTTTATAGGAAAGAAGGAGCAAACCACACCAGAGCACCCGCCAACCACCCACCATCCGATTGTGTAATCCTCAAGACAGTATAAGAATCCCCTTTTGGCAAGGTACAGAATTATTTCTCACTGAACCAGTTCTGATACTATCAGTGATATGCTTGATGCTATGTCTGAATAAGTGGATAACCCATTTAGAAGTGATGGTGATGACTGAAGATCTTCCCTCACATGCATTCTCAAATGCCTCTCCTCATTTACAAACGTCTCTCCTCAATCACAAACTTCTCTTCTCATGCTCAAACTTCTCTCCTCTAACACATGATATATATAGGAATAGGGTGGGCTTCATTCCGAGGGGGTGGAATATTGAGAACGTGAGAACATGAGAACACTGAGAACGTGAGAACATGAGAACATTGAGAACGTGAGAACATTGAGAACGTGAGAACATTGAGAACATTGAGAACGTGAGAACATTGAGAACGTCAGAACATTGAGAACATTGAGAACGTCAGAACATGAGAACACTGAGAACGTCAGAACGTGAGAACATTGAGAACATTGAGAACGTCAGAACATGAGAACACTGAGAACGTCAGAACGTGAGAACATTGAGAACGTCAGAACGTGAGAACACTGAGAACGTCAGAACGTGAGAACATTGAGAACGTGAGAACGTGAGAACGTGAGAACATGGAGAACGTCAGAACATTGAGAACGTGAGAACATGAGAATACTGGGAACGTCAGAACATTGAGACAGTCAGAACGAGAACGTCAGAACATGAGAAAATTGAGAACACCCCCCTGGCCCCTGAGAACTGTGGAGAACCTGAGACAAGTGATCTAGGAAGTGTGATGACGTCACCGCTCCGCATCTCACAGCTGGGCAGACTGTGCCCGCAACAGAATGAGACGGCCACACGTTAGAATTTCCAAACGGAGCAAAACATGTAGACATTTTCTGACTACAAGCAGCAAACGTCATCGTTAGACGTGAATGATACGTGAACTTAGGTATCAGTACCAATGATCACTTCTGACTGTACCCGTACTGTGTGTCTTTGGCAAGAGACAGTGAGTCTGCCCTTCCAAAACCCCATAACCACATCTTTTATGGAAGAGGTAGTCAGTCATTCTTTTCCCATCACTGGAGTTTTCATTAAGCTCAGTTTTTGGGGAGGATAAGAATAAGAGTAATACATGTATGTTTTTGAAAAATCCCTAAACAAACTCCAGCACGGAGCTCAACCTTTTATGCCACCTGACTTCATAAAAATTTTCATCTAGGGGAAATTTTGTTCACTTTGTCCCTGACACTGACCTTTTCCAAGATTGCAGGAGATAATTCTAGCGTATAAATCTATCTGAGAGATGTCAGATAACTGACTCCACCCTGCTACTGGCTACACACAACACGCAAGAACGACTAAGCAGCGCGCGCAAGCAGCGTAAATATTACTATCACTTCACAGGTAGATAAAAAATCATAAATTCAACTGCAAGTGCATAGGAAGAACTGAAAGCGACAGCGCAGGCATGAGCGGCTGCCAGGTACCGCGTGGGAGGGTCAGGTCTGAGACCCCGACACGCGGAAATGCTGACACGAACCAGCAGTCACACGGGCACAGCGACGCAACAAGAAGATGCGCACTGACTGATAGAATGAACACCTTATACATTGCTCTTCAAAGTGTGGGCCAACAAACAACAGTGAAAAACATGTGGATAAAATTTCTCAGCTCCTTCAACAGATGATCAACACTGCATGCGAGGATTTTGTCATAGCCTGTCACAGTCATCGCAACTTTTAACTTTTACCAACAAGTGAACAGTTCATAACTTCAGGCTCCATCAACTTACAATACACATAGATAAATATCATTGTATCTTTAATCAAACAGTGCAAGACACACAAGGACTGAAATATTCCAACTAGTTAATACATAGATAATTCCAACGTCTCCTGAGGATATAAATAAAACAGACCTCTCGTATTCCTCTCACTGTGTTCTGTCAGAAAAAAAAATTTTTCTCTTCTCCAGATTTTTCAACCTTTCCATTTATTTTTCCATTTATTTCTGTTGCCATGGCATGAGAATTTCCTCTCAACAAAGCTTCTCACCATAATTTCTGGCTACAAAATTGAGGATGCAAATTAAAATTGCATTTGTTTGGTTCAAAGATGTTCAGAGGCACTGCCCTTGAAAACAAGCAGACCCCAGGACAGAACAAGGGCCATACCGCCCGCACGACCACAGAATGTATCATGTCCTTTTTCTGTCAACATTGAGAGGAATATAAGCATCTTTTCCTATAAAACCAACCCCATATCTGGATTTGATTTCCATTGCTTTTGATCAATGATTAACGTTTAAGTTAAAGACACATATAATTCATAAGTATACAAAAATATTTAAATACTTTTATGGGCAGACATCTCACGTAAGTGTGCAGAGAGACAGTGCGTCATGATACCTTTGACTATACTGACACGAAAGACTGCAAAATTAAAAATGATTATCATAATTTTTTATGAGTTCATGGTATTAGAGAACCAAATGAAAAAGAAACAGTATAGAAAAAGTTTAAAACCCCAATACAGTAAAACTCTAACCACTTATATATATATATATATATATGTATAGCCATATCACTGTCTACATTGATCTCACTCACAATTTCACTCAAACACCTTTCAATGCATTCTTAAAAATTCAAAAGACACCAACAATCACTTGTTACAGTTTTACAACTTTGTGGCACATGGATTTTTATTAACAGGATAACTTGTGAAGTACAAATGTTCACTACCTAAAAATTTCAACCCTCATAAAAGAAGATGTTTAACAGCAAATTTCCACACATTTGCAAACAGAGCATTGTGATCTGATCAGACAGCAAACAGTCAATGTAAAAGTCTCCATGTCTTTATGTACGGTCAGCAGCTTTCTAGATATATAAGTTTATGTGTCCATAAGCCATGGGTAAAGACAAAGATGGGGAGAACTTATCAGTAGGGGCAGGCACAGGGGACACAGCAGGAGCTGGTAAACAGGGGGGGGAGGACATAGCCTAGCCACTACTGTCTGCACAGACAGTCAGTTGTTTGTTGTAAAGTATCATGTGTGTGTCATCCCATGTGTGTCATGGCAGACAGTAGTTTGTAGTAAAGTTTGTGTCATGTCGTGTGTGTCATGCCGTGTGTGTCATGGCAGACAGACAGTTGTTTGCTGTAAAGTATGTGTCATTTATGTGTCATATGTTTGTCATGGCATGGCCAGTTTGAGTTTGTGGTTGTGAAGTCTACAAGCAACACAGTCGTCATGTCACTTGTGTCATGAGACACCACGAGCAACGGGTCAGTCAATCATCCCTTGTTACATCATGTCAGTCTGGTGAGATTGTGCCATGCCGTGTCCGCATTTTGTCCTTGCGTCATACGTCAGTGCTATGACATGACATGCTGACACTCAAAGCTCAAGCTATTATCAATACTTGTGGTACTTCATTTCACAAAAAGGAAGTGTCCACTTTCAACTATTAGGAAAGCCACAGTTTAACTGGTAACAGAATAAATGACACATTTGATTCCAGACACACAATATACATAATTTGTCAAATCTTCAAAGATCAACAAGGTACACAAAAGTTTTCCCGCGTGTGACAGAAACGCGACAGGCTTGGCTGCTCATGTAGGTCTTCCATAACAATGGAAACGAAGACATAGATCTACCTTTTCTTCCTAATGAAATGTCATGTATTCAGCACAACAGCCCACACTAAGCACATTCCAAACAAAAGAATCCAGATACAAAGGGAACAGACAATCACCACAAACATTTCACCAACCACAGACATTCATACAGACAAATCATAATCAAACAACATTATCCACATCACACACAAAGCAATCTCAGCAAATAACGCATCAACATAAACACGTAAACATGGATCATCAATGCCCTTCCTAACATTTTACAAAACACACACACACACAGTACACACACACACACACAGATTAAACATTATCTCTGCCACTTCAATCAAGCTCTATCACACACATACAGAGGAATGACCCATTACTGAAAACATCATCATAAATGACACAGGCAAGGTGCATGCATATATTTAAGAAACAAAAATTAGCGAGATATAATTTGTTGAAGGGTGAAGGTCCATAGCTAGGTAAATAGTTGTGGTAGGCTAGATATAAGGTCTGCACTTCGTACTGAATCCATTTCTGATGTCATGGTTAACTAGGCATGGGAATCCCCACTACATTGTCATAGATACATCTATCTGTACACAACAACATACTTCTTTTCTCTTATGATATGTGTCACACGCATACACACACATACACACACACACACACACATACACACACAAAAATACATATATATATCTCTCATGATATGTGTCATATACACACACACACACACAAGCACACACACAAACACACACACACACACACACACACACACACACGCAGGTATACACTCTACAGTGGAGGCATTGGTGGGTCAGCAAAAATTATAGAACGTGGCAATATAATATATAATTACTGTGTGCTTGCAAGCATAGATGATGATGGTGATGATGTTGATGATGATGCCAAGAAAATCAGATGATGAAACTAGTGGCGCACTGACACCTAATGATGATCAGTCATTAACAAAACTGATATTTGGCCGTGGAGAAAGGGGTGATGATTATTAGAAAAAAATAAAATAAAACATTGTGACGGTTCAGAGAAAGGTGAGTGGTGGGTACCCATCTCACAAGGGAAAAGAACGATCCACAGAGCTGGCAGCAGAGAAGAAGCTGCAGACTATAATGACCACCATAGAAACAAGCAAATTACCTACATGACATATTACAAAAACAAAATGTAATGCACATTGTACTACACTTCGCAATAAGGTAAGTGACATAGAAACGATGCATCAGGGTGACCGTTCTCTCGTGGTCAAATCCTTTCAAAGGGCAGTCAGCACTCAGGAAATGGCACTAGCTAGCAACAAGAACAACTGAAATGTACACATACTGCCAAAACCTTGACACGCATGCTACCTTGACCTTGAACAATATGTACCTTGACCTTGATACTAACGTGAGAACCAAAAGCCAGCAAGAGGGAATGAAAGATGAAGATATAGATGACAACAGCGACTTAGATGGTTCATTATTTGATAAACCTCTGCAGGAACAAAACACACACACACACAAACATCTCTCCAGCAATAGAATCCAGTCGGCCTCTGCATAATAGCTCATCACCAGCAACACTTTCCGCAGAAAAAAAACATTCAGAAGAAAAGGAGAGAAAAAAGAAAATACACTATAAATAGAGATAGGAAAAAAAATTATCACCCATAGAAAATAATGTTTTTAACATTTTCCTGTGATTAAATTACAATGATCTGATAGATATGCTTCATCAAAAATTCATATAAAAATCTATACAGATAAACTAGATACAAGGTTTCCATGTTAAATGATTCTGACGTCCTTTTCCAGTGCCTGAGGAAGTACAAGCAGGCTTAGGCACTTCGAAACCTCAATCCTGATGTGGCATTACGATTCACCAGGAAAAAGAATTTACCTCTGAGACTGATGATTCAGAGAGCTATAACAGAAGATGTGTTCTTTCCTCTGATCACCATCTCAACATGAGCAAGACAGTAAAAAAAAAAATCAGTTTAAAAAAAACCCATTACTCCGGATCGGGAACCGTGCTTAAGCGTCAGTGACGGCAGAGACAATTTCCCCTGTGACGTCACAACATTCAAACCTCCTAGTCCAGTGTCGGTACGGTGGGAACAGTCATCTGTCACAACGCCATTCACTCTCTGTCAAACCTTCGTTGAATAACTCAACAGCCACAATGCCGTGGCCACTGCAGGAGTCAAAACAGCTAGCTACAGATACATGTTGAAACAGCTACTGAATGATGTCAAAACAGCTACAGAGACATGTCAAAACAGCCAACTTGGACATGTCAAAAAGCCAACTGGGACATGCTGCTGTGTTGGAAAAATTCTCATGCAAAGATCCCTCCAAGAGGGTCTTTTCCCCAAAACTCTCGGGATCCTCACAAAAAGAGGGCATGTGATCATTGATAAACTAAGAAGTAGTAATCCTTCAAGAAGTAACCATGGGGATTTCAAAGTCATGAGTTCCTAAAGTTCCAATAATGACATTCAGGTGTGATTGTAACTTTTGCTTTTCAAACTGCAGATTAACGTGTCATATTAAAGAAATTTTCTGCATTATCATTTTTTATAATATTATCATTATTATTATCAAAGACTGAGGAATCAACTTCTCCAAAACATCCCATTCACATCAAAAGGTGACAGTTCTTAGGGTAGGTGCACAATATGGCGGTCAATAAGCCAACTTAAACCAGGACAAGAGATCTGTGCAGACTGCAAAATGTGGACACGCGCTCACAGAAAGCTACATTTTAGTACATTCATGTATAAGAAAAAGCCTTCAAAACATTCAAAAATATTGTCCCACTGACACAGTGTGAACTGTGGAACTCCCCAGTATCTTAAAAAAAATAGATGTGAATAATTTCAGGGATAAGACAGAAGAAGTAGGTCATAAATGTTTCAAAGCATACACAAAGATTTCTTTGCCAGTACATAGACAAGTACAACAAAACCCTTAGAGACGAGACAGCTGGTGAATCAATCTCTAACTAAAAATATGTACCCATAAACACCCAAGTACAAATCTACTACAATACAATGCATGACAGTAATGTTACCACAAAGGGTTTTTTTCTGTTAACTTCAGCAACAGAGCAAGCGCTCAGTTACACGGGAGAGCTGTCTGTTGCTTGTTTGCCAAAGATAGCATGTCGAGGGAGACTACACATGAGGAGGATGTCGGTGAAATAAGGCAATGTCCTTACACCCTACACCAATGACACTGTGGTTTCTAGAATGTGGTAGCAGGTCGACATTCAAAGATAAAGGTGAGAAAAACCATGACTTATTTTTTGTCGTACCGTAGTTGTTGTAGCTGTTACTGATCCATCGGAGAACGGCAAACCCTGTTGACTTGTTGATGACATACAGCAGTGGTTGAGGGGGGCGGGGAGGGCAAGAGATGAGTCTCTGACGACAAAAACAGTAGATGGTGCCATGGTAGATGACAGCTCCTGCGACACTCACACTATGACAAAGTCAACGAGTCAACAAGTCAACAACTAAGTGTGACAATGTCACCAGTGAAAGCCCCAGATTTAGCGGCAGCCCTATAGTCAGCTTCTAGCCATGATACTGATCTCTGAATCTGTGACGTCTGCTGACAAAATAAGTTACTTCTCCAACTTTAGCCCCATGGAAATAGAGATACGTCAAACTTGCAAGTTGACTTTTTTCAAGCATGAATAATAAAAAAACATGTTAAACTTGAAGAAACTGGTATTAGTTGAAAATATACAAATTTGACGAGTGTCCATTTTTGGCTTATATCTCCATTAGCCAATCGCGAAAGGTAACTCATTTTGTCAGCACGCCTCCTTCACATGTGACACGCTGAAGGTGGCAGAATATGCCTGCTTCATCTCCCACACTTCATCTCAGAGCACCGCCTACAATGACTTGCCACTCTGGTCAGAAAAACCTGGCTCCTCCACACCTCCGGTCCTGCCAGTCAACAGCTGAGACATGTTTATTCTGTCACACCGAGTCAATGGAAGACAAAGTCTGAAGTCTGCGTCGTGAACTCACAAGAAAACGTCTCTCCATCTCCTGGCCTTCTTTAGGACCACACTCTGCTCATCGGCCCGCGAGGCACCGGCTATTTGCACAATGATTCCACACTTCCTTGATAAACAGCTTCAAAAATCGATATGTACTCCAAACGAACACCACACTTCAACGACAAAACTGCCGACACAATGTGACCGATAATTTTCCCAAAGGCTTGCATCAAAGGTCAGGCATTCTCCGACCTCAGAGGATACCTGCACGTGGAATTGACACGAAATTTACACTTTGACCTCGGAGGAATTCTTCACTTTGACTTCAAAGAATTTCTGTCCTTAGACACAATTGCGTTAACACACCACCAAACCAGTTCCACCATAAATATCCTTCTCTCCCTCCTTTCCTTCATCGCAAACATCTGTACACATGTGCTGAACAAACACAGGTGTGCTGAACAAACACACATGTGCTGAACAAACACAGGTGTGCTGAACAGATACACATAAGTTGAACAAACACACATGTGAGCTGAAAAAACACATGTGTGCCAAACACAGCGAGAGTCAGGAGGTCAAGGACGTCGACAGATGGTGCCACCTAGGAGTAGATGGTGATGACCTCGCGGCCGCTTCCCCGCACCATCAGGACTCGATCCAAACCCTCCGTCAACACCTCCAGAAACTCCATGTCTGAGACGCTCGTTAAGGAGATCACCGGACACAAAGTATGCAGTCTCTTCAACCTTAGCCCATTTTACATAGTCTTGTTTTGGTTGTGTTTTTTTTTTTTAGAACAAACAAACTGAGAAAAATGAAAGTGTTTTTACTGCACTCGCAACACAATAAGGTCATGTTAAATGCTGAAGATTAGAGGTTTTACCAGAGAGTAACAAACACAAAACAGAAGGAGGGGAGGTGAGAACGACAGATGTTTGATAGGAAAGTAGGAGCAAACCACACCAGAGCACCCGCCAACTACCCAATTTGTATAGTCTGTACAACTGGGATTTTGACAGTCCTAAACTACGCATACTTATAAAAAACAACAAAAACAGCATAACTTTTTAGGTCACATTCATTAAGAGATAAATAATATAAATGGAAAACCTACGTCATTCTACGTTTATTTTATTTTTTAAAAAGGGTTTGCTGTTGCTAAAATTGAAGCTTCAAAACTTTTTTACAAATAGAACTTTTACAAAGACTTTATCTTAACCTGTTTTACATATTTGCTTTTAAAAAAGGTCCACTAATCCTGCAAAGCAAAAAAAAAATTGAAACCTCCACAGAAACGGAACTGTTTACACATCACACATTCTTACTCAGCTCTGCAGTAAGTTGACAAAACGCCTTTTTTTCTTCGGAGCAGTTTCGAGAAAAAGAGTTTTTTTTGTCAGCGTAATCTTTTTAAAATAGAGCCCCTCCAAATTTGAGTTCTAATTTATTTTAAAAGTAGTTACAGTTTCATTTTTGAATTTTTTTTTTCAGACAAGTACTTAACTGATCAGGCTTTCGATTGAGCAAACAAACAAAATCTGTCGCCAAAATGAAAAAAGGCGTTTTGTCAGCTTACAGCAGAGCTCTCAAGGAGGTCGCATGACATAAATCTGTGTATGCGACAAAACAGTAACACCAGCGTATGTGCTGTGTTGATGGGGGGCATAAAAACATCTAACTTTTTTTTCTTTTTTTTTAGTAAGCTTTTACGGCGCTCGTAACTGCATAAGGTCATGACAACATCTTTATAAAACTTTTCCAACCATCCAACCAGTTAACCAATGTCAAGGATACAGTTCTCGGCTCCGGCCTCTGACTTTGGCGGGGCGGGCAGGTTGAGGATGACCAGCTGGGCGTTGTGCGACTTCTCCACGATGTGCTCGTTCAGTCGGACAGCTGTGTGCATGCGCCGGACGTTCTGCTTGTCCCTGCATGGTGCAACACAAGCACAGGTGAGAAGTGGTGAACGACACAACAATCACAGGTGAGAAGTGGTGGACGACACAACAATCACAGGTGAGAAGTGGAGGACGACACAACAATCACAGGTGAGAAGTGGTGGACGACACAACAATCACAGGTGAGAAGTGGTGGACGACACAACAATCACAGGTGAGAAGTGGTGGACGAAACAACAATCACAGGTGAGAAGTGGTGGACAACACAACAATCACAGGTGAGAAGTGGTGGACGACACAACAATCACAGGTGAGAAGTGGTGGACGACACAACAATCACAGGTGAGATGTAACACGATGCAACAATCACAGGTGAAATGTAACATAGACAGACAGAAACAACAGAGGGAAGGAAAAGAAGCAGGAGCTACCAGTGGCACCCTCCAACCACCCACACAAACAGACAGACAGAGACAACAGAGGAAAAGAAAGGAAGCAGAAGCTACCAGTTGCACCCTCTAACCACCGTAGCACCCTCCATCCACCCACACAGAAAGAGAGAGACAACAGAGGGAAAGAAAAGAAGCAGGAAAAAGCAAGACAGACACAACAGAGGGAAGAAAAAGAAGCAAGCACTACCAGTGCCACTCTCCAACTACCCACACAGACAGACAGACAGAGACAACAGATGAAAGGAAAAGAAGCAGGGAATAGCAAGACGACAGAGACTACAGAGGGAAGGAAAAGAAACACCAGCTACCAGTCACACCCTCCAACCACCCGACAGTGGGACTTACGGAATCTTGGAGCTGTCGATGAAGGCCTTGGCCGCTTGCGGTGTGAAGGTGAACTGCGACTTGTCCAGCGAGCGCTGGTTCACATCCATCAGGTTCTGGTCCGTGCTGCTTTCCTCCGGGACTGGGGACAGCGTGATGGTCGGTACACGCATGGCCGCCGCTGGACGACCTTCGCCCTGGTGGAGAGAACATAACTAAGTCAGTGGGTCGTAAATATCGGGTGTGCATTGGCATGATCGGGTTGGGTCGAGTCGGTTCACTAGCCAGATTGAAGGTGCAAAGCGGCTATCACGGCACAAACCAATCGCACAACTCGTCGCCTAAAAAAAGCGCGCTTGTTTTCAGGCGACGCGTTAGGCGATCGAAACGACCGAACCCGACCCTATCTGCAGTGGGCACCTAGTATAAGAGTATGTAAGGCATCGTAGTCAAATAAGGTGCTCCTCAAAATAATCACAGAAATCGACATTTTATTTCTCCCAATGTGCTATTTTTATCTATCTTTTTGTTTTTGGCTCAACACCTTTAATGTCCATTTAAAAACATATTTCTGCGAGGATTTTACTGAAAAACGCTGACCAAAGGCGTTTAAAAAATTTTACGTGGAGTTTCCAAGGACACTACAGCTTTGGAAGTTTTTCACTAAAAATCTCATGGTGGACAGTATGGAGTAATTTCAACTTCCATGATGCCATTTTTTAATCTTCCTCACAACCGATCAACAACCGATCTACAAGCGATCAAAAATCAGTCCAGCATCGACATAGCCCAGTGTGTACCCCGGCATCTTCACCATGAGCAGACGCAAGGGCCCTGACACTCACCCCAGACTGCTGGTGCCGGATCCGGGTCAACATGTCCGTCCGCTGCTCCATGATCAATGTTCGCTCGTACGTGTACGCTGAGATGTCTTGGTTGCTCTGAAAAAGGGAGACGGAGACTCTTGATGTACGTGGGAGAGTCTTTTACTTTTAGTAGAAGTTTTACGGCACTCGCAACTGCATAAGCTCATATGAGCGCCAGAAGATTAGAGGTGTTACAAGAGAGTAAGAAACATAAAAAAGAAGAAGGGGAGATAAGGACGATAGATGTTTGTTAGGAAAGAAGAAGCACAATCCACACACAACAATACTAATAATGATAGTGATCATAACAATACAAAGAAGAGAAAGAGGAGAATAAGGACGATAGATGCTTGAATGGAAAGAAGGAGCAAACCACACTAGAGCACCCACCAACAACACACACACACACAGGTAGTTTAAATGTTCTTGAAAACTTAAATTGAATCCACAATAATACTAACACTAACAACAGAAATGAGAGAGAGAGAGAGAGAGAGAGAGAGAGAGAGAGGG